GCATTCTTGCTGAGCAATAAAATAATGAGGGGCATAGATAAGGTGAATATTCATGGTCTTTTCCCCAGGGTAGGGGAGTCTAAAACTCAAGGGCATAGGCTTAAGGTGTGGGATAAAGATTTAAAAGGAACCTGAGAGGCAACCTTTTCGCATACAGGTGGTGTGTGTACGGAACAAGCTGCCAGAGGAAGTGGTAGAGGCAGGTACAATTACAACATTTAAAGGAAATTTGGATGGGTACATGGATAGGAAAGGTTTAGAAGGATATGGGCCAAATGCAGGGAAAATGGGACTAGTTCTATTTAGCAATCCTGGTCGGCATGGACGAGTTGAGCCGAAGGGCCTGTTTCCATGCTATATGCCTCCATGAGTCCATATGTAAAACTAAAAGGTGCACCAGAAGATATACAGATACAGGACAAAGTTCCAGAGCAACAAAATTGCTGAGTGTTAGTCATGAAAGAGTCAACATGGCAGAGGAAACCACCGTTGGAAAAGATACTAGAGGCATTTCCAGAAGAAACTAGTGATTCAACTGACTCAAGTTCGATAGAACTTCTTTATGCCAATGGACATCTCATTGATTTTAAGCTTGGTACAGGAATGAGTGTCACTGTCTTGTCAGATCAAATATCAAAAGACTGGAGACATGAAGCTAAATGGTACAGGAGACGTAACTACTAATATTAGTTATGTGATTTGAGTAACACTACAACATAAAGGGTACCAGATAGAAAATATATACACAATTCATATTCCCAACCTGACTCTTCGGTATTAACTATAAAACAGTGGTAAATGATTTTAGAAACAATGGAAGTCAGTCTGAGACATTTATGCTCATATCTTTGAGCAGGAAACATTCTGCAGTTATCAGTTCCAACTTAAAAATAACTAGCAAAGCTTTAGTCTTAAACAAGATCAAAGAGTAGTTTATTACACAACCACTGTGAAAAGTTACTAAGTAAAAAGTTGTTAGTAAAAATCTAGATACAAAGACTGAAGGTAGGCATGGATAAAAGATATTCATAAAAATCACAGTAAGATTATTGCAGATCTGGGTTGCTTGAAGATTTGTTTCCAAGTTAAAAGCTTGAAGTCAGAATTCTGCAGCTACTGCAGTCAAACAGATGGAGGTTTCTTCCACAGGTGGACTGAGAAGATTCTGAAAGGGAGTGAAGGCTCCATTGTTTTACTTTAACATCACTGTTGGCTTTGATCCCTCTCAACCTGGTTCTGCATAACAGTCCTATAGCTGGTACCCCTCCTTCCATTTCCCTATTGAGAATACCTACCCTCTAATTGTAACTTTCAGATTTCTTCTTGGACTTCTAAAAAATTAGTGCCTCACAGTTTGTCTTATCAAAGCAAAATGACTGCTATGTGAACCAATGTTCACAAAACAAAGTAAGTTACCCTGGAATTTCCTATGGTGTCCTTTCAGTCTCTTGTTCTCTGAGAAGTTTTGAATTCTTACAGAATGGATCTATAGAAGGATCCATTGTGTATCAGTTTTGAAATGTCTCCTTTTGTGATTGATGCGGAGATGACACATCAATCTGATCGTTTTTCTGGCTACTGTGAATCAACAACAGTAATCATGTGACATCAGCCATGGTCATACTAAATGGTGGCGCAGGCTCAAAGGGCTGAATGGTCTATTCTTGCACTTATTGTCTATGTTTTCTATCTTGGGGGCACCTTTTTACTTTTCTGTGCCCATTTAAAGATACATTAGCTTTCTTTACAAAGTAGGAAGGGAGTCAATTAGCTCAGTTGGCAGATTTGCTATGCAGTGATACCAAAAGTCTGGGTTCAAATGCTGCACCAGCTGAGATTGCCATGAAGGACTCTCCTTCTCAACCTCTTCCTTCACCTCAGGTATGGTGATCCTCAGGTTCAATCACCACCAGCCACCTCTCTCCAATGAGAGAGCAGCCCTATGGACTTAAAGAAAAACACTTGCAATATTATAATTACATGGTTGTGACAATAAACTGAGCCTAAAGTTGGACTCACACTGATTCCCTGAGCTCTCACCTTGCTTGAATATGAGCACCCACTTCTCCTAGTGGCAATTAAATTTCTATCCATGCTGTTGTTGTTCTTTCTGCAACAAATGCCTGATTTTTCTAACAAGTATCTTAGAAGACACCATTTTTTTTCATCTCTTGTGGGATATGGGTGTCGCTGGTGGCCAGCATTTTACACCCAACCTTAGTTGCCCTTGAAAAGGTGATGGTGGGCTGCCTTCTTGAATTACTGCAGTCCATGTGCTGTAAGTAGACCCCAATGCTGTTAGGGAGGGAATTCCACAACTTTGACTCAGCAACAGTGAAGGAACGGTGATATATTTCCAAGTCGGGATGGTGAGTGACTTGAAGGGGATTTGCAGATGGTGGTGTTCCCATGTATCTACTGCCTTGTCCTTCTAGACAGAAGTTATCATGGGTTTGGAAGATGCTGTCAAAAGATCTTGGATGAATTTCTGCAGTCATAGATCGTAAACACTGCTGCTATTGAGCATCAGTGGTGGAGGGAGTTGATGCATATGGATGTGGTGCCAATCAAGCTTTGTGCTGGATGGTGTCAAGCTTCTTGACAGCTGTTGGAGCTGCGCGCATCCAGGCAAGTGGGGAGTACTTCAACACACTCCTGGACTTGTGCCTCGTAGATGGTGGACAGGCTTTGGGGAGGCAGGAGGTGAGTTACTCGCCACAGTATTCCCAGTCTCTGACCTGCTCTTATAGCCACATTATTTATATGGCAAGTTCCAGTTGAGTTTCTGATCAACGATAACCCCAGGATGTTGATAATTGGTGATTCAGTGATGGTAATGCCATTGAATGTCAAGGGGCAGTGGTTAGATTGTTTCCTATTAGACATGGACATTGCTTGACATTTGTGTAGCATGCATGTTACTTGCTATCTGTCAGCCCAAGTCTTGATAATGTCCAAGTCTTGTTGCATTTAAACATGGAGTGCTTCCGTATCTGAGGAGTTTTGAATGGTGCTGAACATTGTGCAATTATCAGTGAACATCCCCACTTGTGACCTTATGACGGAGGAAGGTCATTGATAAAGTAGCTGAAGGCAGTTGGGCCTAGAATACTACCCTGAGGAACTACTGCAGAGAAGTCCTGAAACTGAGATAACTGACCTCCAACAACCATAACTATTTTATGTGCCAGATATGACTCCAACCAGCAGACGTTTGGCTCCATGATTCACAGTGATTCCAGTTTCATTAGGATTCCTTGATGTCACATTCAGTGGTATGCAGCCTTGATATCAAGGATTGTCACCCTCACTGTACCTCTGGAATTCAACTCCTCTGTTGGTGTTTGAACCAAGACTCCAATGAGGTCAGGAGCTGAGTGGCCCTGGTGGAATGCAAATTAGGCTTCAGTGAACAAGCTATTGCTAAGTAGGTGCTGTTTGATTGCACTGTTGATGACCCCTTCCATCACATTACTGATGATTGAGAGTAGATTAGTGGGGTGATAATTAGATGTGGTACCTAACAGTGGGCTGCTTTGTCCAGGATGGTGTCTATCTTCTTGAGTGCTTTTGAGGATGCTTTTACAGGATATACGTGAGCAAATTTCTACATTGTCGAGTAGATACCAGCTGTACTGGAATAGCTTGGCTCGGGATTAGTCAAGTTTTGGAGCACAAGTCTTCAGTACTATTGCCAGAATGTTGTCAGGGCACATTCTTATCCTTTTTGGTGTCCAGTGCTTCCAACTGTTTCTTGATATCATGTGGAATGAATCAAATTGGCTGAAGATTGGCATCTGTGATGCTGGGAACCAGTGGCAGAGGCCGAGGTAAATCATCCACTTCTGGCTGAAGATTGTTATGAAACCGTATCAAAAACAAAAAAACGTGCAACAAGTACTATATTCTCTCTGATAAATTGGTTCTTTCTACGAAAAAAGGAACTCAAACTTTTAAATATGGTTTACTATTAATGTGTGGCTTACTCAACACCATGGAGTGTTCTAGATAACCCATACGATTTAAACACATTTTAACTTGAACAAAGTTAGCCTTGAACCAGGGGATGTCAGAGTTTGCGCATGACTGATGTTAGATTAGTTAGTTATTTCATAATTGGCATCCTTCTTGAAGCAATATGTTATATTGCCAATCATGATCCCATTAATTAATGAAATGAAGCAGAATAAAGTTACAGTCTGTGCCACCTTCCACTCTTAAAATTTTGTTTTTATTTGGGAACTCTACTATTTTTTCTGAAACTCCAGGTAATTGGGATGGTAACAGTTCAGACTAAACCTTAAAACTGCACTGGAGATAGTAGGAACTGCAGATGCTGGAGAATCTGAGACAACAAGGCGTAGAGCTGGATGAACACAGCAGGCCAAGCAACATCATAGGAGCAGGAAGGCTGACGTTTCAGGCCTAGGCCCAAATTTGCTCTCTAAATCTCTCCACATAATGTCCAGGAATGTGCAGGCTAGGTGGGGTAGCCATGGGAAAAGCAGGGTTACACGGATAGGGTAAGGGGTTTGGCTGGGTGGGACGAATGGCCTGCTTTCACACTGTAGAGATTCTATGATTCTATGATTTCATCTCACCTCTCCCTTCTCCTTTAAGACAGTCTTCAAAACTGACCACTTTTTTCAAGTTTTAGGTCATGTATACTTCCACTTCTCAGCATTTTTTAAAAAATCCATTATACTGCCCTGATGTTCTGTGGGATCTTTATTCCATTAAAGGCACTATATACACTACAAATTGTATCATTATTGTTTTGCTACCATCTGTCTTTACCCACTAAGTCAGTCAGCAAAGGTAGCACATCACATTTCTACTCTGAGTTAAGATAGTTTATCTTGCATTAGAAGCATTATAACAGTTTCTGGGAAGCAACACAAACTCAACAAAGATTTCTGAAGAAGGGTCGCGAACCGAAACCTCAGCTTTCCTGTTCCTCTGATGCTGCCTGGCCTGCTCTGTTCCTCCAGATACACACTTTGTTATCTCTGACTCCAGCATTGGCAGTTCCTACTATCTCAAAGGCTTCTGTTGCTGTGATTATCCAGTGACCAGGGCTAGAGCGGGCATGTAGAAATTTGGTGCTGTGATTGTAACGAGGTCAGCCAACTGGACCCCGTAGAATATGACATCCCTGATCGGGGCTGTTAACCTGGTCCAATCAGGGAGCCCTGGCTGACAGGTAAGAAGAGGAGTCTCAGAGATTCCACTCACTGACGAGGCAGTGCTAGAGTCAAGGAGTTTCCATGTGTAAATAAAGGGTGACTTGGAGTTATTTCATTGGGTAAATCTGATTTAACTGTGAACATTAGCACTGGTCTGCCAATATTCAAAACCTGCAGTCAAACATGAAAATGAACGGGTTGGATGATTTAGAAGAGAAACCCTACAATCCAGTGAGTCCCACCTTATGCTTTTAGCAGAAAATGATAAGGGGATTGGCACAAATAGAAAGAAGTCAAAGAAACATTCTCACAATTCTATAGGAAACAGGAAAAGTAACTTGCCAATAAAGGCAAATCCACACTGTGCAATCTAGAAAGTCTACTGATAGTTGTGATCAATTTTCTTTTTGCTGGTGTTATTAAGCCTACTACTTCAGAGCAGACATCATGAGCTGTTTTAACTTCTCAACATCACATTTTGTCATAATAAAAGCTTGATTTTCTTTTTGCAGTAGGTTAAGTGTATCCACAATCATCATCCCTCTGGTCACCGAACCTCGTAACTCCACGCTTACTGCATATCGCATATATTCTGTGACAACACTCTCATCAATTGCAGCTGCCATTGCAAAAGAATCACAGGACACAAAGCCAGGTTCAAAATACAGCTCTCTTTTGCCTTGGTTGCCTTTGGAAAATTTTTCACTGTGAGCTGTTATCTTCTTCATGAAGCAAGCTTTCTCAGTGTTTTGGTTTACCCACTCCTCAAAAAACTCCTATAATGGATACAATGAAAAGCAATCAATTTTGTACATCATCCAAGGTAATTATCTGGAAAATGAAAGAACAGTCTATCAAAGGTTAAAATTCTTTACAGTACATGGAACCTCTCAATATAACAGTGAATATCTTAATACGTTGAAAATCTTTCTTGTGGTTACTAGGTAAATTCAAAATCCATATGTTTTACATTTATACCCTCAAAAGAAAGGGCAAAACTACTGAATTGGTGAGTAACCATAGAAAGCATACCATCCAGGTGCATAAAGGCCTGGTACAGCAACTGCTCTGCCCATGACTGTAAGAAACTACAGAAGGTAATGTGTACAGCCCAGACCATCTCAGAAGCCAACCTTCCATCCATGGACTCTATTTACATGGCTCACTGCCACAGAAAGCCTGCGCTCCCCTACATCCTCTTCCATCTGGCAGAAGATATAGAAGCCTGAACACATGCACCAACAGGTTCAAGAACAGCTTCTTCCCTTCCATTGTTGGACTAATGAATGGACTCTCTAACTCAAGTAATGTTGATCTTGCTTTGTGCACCTCCTGTGCAATGTAACCTGTATGCCTCAGTCTGTCTACGCACTCTATGATCTGTATGTCCTTGCTAACTACGATCTACCTGTACTGCTCACAAATAAAGCTTTTCACTGTACTTAGGTACACGTGACTACAATGAATCAAATGGAAATGCTGAGCTATCTTATTACAATGGTAAATTTTGGGTTATATTTCCAATTAGCAACCTCACATTAAATCACTATCATTTATGAATAACTGTTGCTCTACATTTGTGAATGGATTTAAGGTACAATTAGATATATATTTGAAGGGGATAAAACTACAGGGCCAAGGAAAATGAAGAAAGGAATGGTGTAATTGGATTGGTCCATGAAAAATCAATTAAAGGCACAACGAGTTAAATTACATCCTTCTTTAGCATATTATTCTATAATCCTAAGAAAGGAAGCAGACGGCTATGCAATTCAGAATTGAAAAATAAGCAGTGACAGCAGACCCTTGTAAGTGTAAAATGGGCCACATTGACACCAAGATCAATGAATACAAATTGGACAAGTTTGTAGGTGGTGGCAAACCAGGAGAACTAATGGATTGAGAGGAGGCACCTCTGAAATTGTAAAAATAATTGGACAAATATGTCATGGCAGAATAATGGGTGGTCAGATTCAATATTAGGAAGTGCATAGTTCTACCCATAACAAGCATCGGTGGCCTTTCAATAGTACTTCGACCTTGAAAATATCCAAAGACTCTGTTTCCACCTCCTTTTGAAGAAGAGAGTTCCAAAGACTCTCAAACCTCGATGAGCAAAGATTTTTCATCAGCTCTGCCTTCAATGGGTGACCCCCAACTTTGAAACAATGACTCCTGGTTCCAGATTCTTCCACAAACAGAAATATCCACATTCCACATCCATCTTCTCAAGACCCCTCAGGATTTTAAATGTTTCAGTCATTTAAGTCACCTCTAAGTCTTCTGAACCCCATGGATACAAGCACGGCACATCCAACCTTTATTCATAAGAGAACCCATCCGTTCCAGGTATTAGTCTAATAGGCCTCTGAACTGCTTCCAATGCATTTCCATCCTTCCTTAAATAAAAAGACCAATACTGTACACAGTAACCCAGATGGAGTGTCACCAAAGTCCTGTATAACTAAAGCATAGTCTCCTTGATTTTATATTCAATTTCCCTTCCAATAACCAATAGCATTCTGTTAGATTTCTTAATTAATTGCGTACTTGCATATTAACGCATTGAGATTCATCCACTAGGACTCACAGATCATTTTGTATTTCAAAGCTCTGCAATTTCTCACTGTTTAGATATTATGATTTCTTATTCTTCCTCCTGAAATTTATAATTCCGTATTTTCTGATATTAGCTAGAGCCTTGCCCACTCACTTAACCGAGTTATATTCCCTTGTAGCTTCCTTGTGTTCTTTTCACAATGCACTTTCCCATTGGTCATCAGCAAATATCATATCTATTCCATTAGTGCCTTCATCCAAGTTTTATTGTAAAAATTTGAGACCCAGCACTAACACCTGTGGCACACGATTAGTTGCAACAATTACACAAAGACCTGTGTTATGCTCCTCTTGCTCAATGTGGGAGCTCAGGGACGCGGCTGATGTCCCTGACTCCTACACGTGCAGGAAGTGTGTCCAGCTGCAGCTCTTGTTAGACCGCATGATGGCTCTGGAGCTGCGGATGGACTCACTTTGGAGCATCTGCGATGCTGAGGAAGTCGTGGATAGCACGTTCAGCAAATTGGTCACACCGCAGATTAGGATTGCTGAGGGAGAAAGGGAATGGGTGACCAAAAAGCAGAAAAAAAAAGCAGGAAGGCAGTGCAGGTGTCCCTGCAGTCAGCTCCCTCCAAAACAGGTATACCGTTTTGGATACTGTTGGGGGAGATGGCTCACCAGGGGAAGGCAGCAGTAGCCAGGTTCATGGCACCGTGGCTGGCTCTGCTGTACAGAAGGGCGGGCAAAAGAGTGGAAGGGCTATAGTCATAGGGGATTCAATTGTAAGGGGAGTAGATAGGCGGTTCTGTGGTCGAAAACGAGACTCCTGAATGGTATGTTGCCTCCCAGGTGCACGGGTCAGGGATGTCTCAGATCGACTGCAGGACATTCTGAAGGGGGAGGATGAACAGCCAGCTGTCGTGGTGCATATAGGCACCAATGATATAGGTAAAAAACAGGATGAGGTCCTACAAGCAGAATTTAGGGAGTTCGGAGCCAAGTTAAAAAGTAGGACCTCAGAGGTAGTAATCTCAGGATTGCTACCAATGCCACGTGCTAGTCAGAGTAGAAATGAAAGGATAGGCAGGATAAATGAGTGGCTTGAGAGATGGTGCAGGAGGGAGGGGTTCAGATCTTTGGGACATTGGGACCGGTTCTGGGGGAGGTGGGACTATTACAAATCGGACGGTCTACACCTGGGCAGGACTGGAACCAATGTCCTAGGGGCTGCTTTTGCTAACGCTGTTGGGGAGGGTTTAAACTAATGTAGCAGGGGGATGGGAACCAAAAGAGGAGGTTAGTGGACAGTAAGGAGATAGTAACTAAAGCCTGTAAGGAACTAGATAATGAAGTCAGTGTGACTAAGGAGAAGAGTAGGCAGAGAGCAGATAATGAACGCAAAGGGACAGGTGGTCTGAGGTGCATTTGTTTTAACGTGAGAAGTGTAGTAGGTAAGGCAGATGAACTTAGGGCTTGAATTAGTACCTGGGAGTATGATGTTGTGGCTCTTACTGAGACTTGGTTGAGGGAAGGGCAAGATTGGCAACTAAATATCCCAGGATATAGATGCATCAGGGATAGAGAGGGAGGTAAAAGGGGTGGAGGAGTTGCATTACTGGTCAAAGAGGATATCACAGCTATGCTGAAGGAGGGCACTATGGAGGACTCGAGCAGTGAGGCAATATGGGCAGAGCTCAGAAATAGGAAGGGTGCGGTAACAGTGTTGGGGCTGTACTACAGGCCTCCCAACAGCGAGCATGAGATAGAGGCACAAATATGTAGACAGATTATGGAAAGATGTAGGAGCAACAGGGTGGTGGTAATGGGAGATTTTAATTTTCCCAACATTGACTGGGATTCACTTAGTGTTAAGGGTTTAGATGGAGCAGAATTTGTAAGGAGCATCCAGGAGGGTTTTCTAGAGCAGTATGTAAATAGTCCAACTCGGGAAGGGGCCATACTGGACCTGGTGTTGGAGAATGAGCCCAGCCAGGTGGTTGAAGTTTCAGTAGGGGATTACTTTGGGAATAGTAATCACAATTCTGTTAGTTTTAGAAAGACGAGAGTGGTCCTAAAGGAAGAGTGCTGAATTGGGGGAGTAGCAAAATTCATCAGGAGCTGGGGAATGTGGATTGGGAGCAGCTGTTTGAGGGTAAATCCACATTTGATATGTGGGAGGCTTTTAAAGAAAGGTTGATTAGAGTGCAGGACAGTCATGTCCCTGTGAAAATGAGGGATAGAAAGGGCAAGATTAGGGACCCATGGATGACAGGTGAAATTGTGAGACTAGCAAAGAGGAAAAAGGAAGCATACGTAAGGTCTAGGTGACTGAGAACAGACGAAGCTTTGGAAGAATATTGGGAAAGGAGGACCAATCTGAAACAAGGAATTAAGAGGGCTAAAAGGGGTCATGAAATATCTTTAGCAAACAGGGTTAAGGAAAATCCCAAAGCCTTTTATTCATACATAAGGAGCAAGAGGGTAACTAGAGAAAGGGTTGGCCCACTCAAGGACAAAGAAGGGAAGTTAAGCGAGGAGTCAGAGAAAATGAGTGAGATTCTTAATGAGTACTTTGCGTCGGTATTCAATGAGGAGAGGGACATGACGGATGTTGAGATTAGGGATAGAAGTTTGATTACTCTAGGTCAAGTCAGCATAAGGAGGGGGAAGTGTTGGGTATTCGAAAAGGCATTAGGGTGGACAAGTCCCCAGGTCCGGATGGGATCTATCCCAGGTTACTGAGGGAAGCGAGAGACGAAATAGCTGGGGCCTTAACAGATATCTTTGCAGCATCCTTGAGCAGGGGTGAGGTCCCGGAGGACTGGAGAATTGCTAATGTTGTCCCCTTGTTTAAGAAGGGTAGCAAGGATAATCCAGGAAATTATAGACCAGTGAGCCTGACATCAGTGGTGGGGAAGCTGCTGGAGAAGATACTGAGGGATAGGATCTATTTACATTTGGAAGAAAATGGGCTTATTAGTGATAGGCAGCATGGTTTTGTGCAGGGAAGGTCATATCTTACCAACTTGATAGAATTCTTTGAGGAAGTGACAAAGTTGACAGATGAGGGAAGGGCTGTGGATGTCATATACATGGACTTCAGTAAGGCGTTTGATAAGGTTCCCCATGGTACGCTGATGGAGAAAGTGAAGTCGCATGGGGTCCAGGGTGTACTAGCTAGATGGATAGAGAACTGGCTGGGCAACAGGAGACAGAGAGTTGTAGTGCAAGGGAGTTTCTCAAAATGGAGAACTGTGACCAGTGGTGTTCCACAGGGATCTGTGTTGGGACCACTGTTGTTTGTGATATACATAAATGATCTGGAGGAAGGTCTGATTAGCAAGTTTGCAGATGACACTAAGATTGGTGGAGTAGCAGATAGTGAAGGGGACTGTCGGAGAATGCAGCAGAATATAGATAGATTGGAGAGTTGGGTGGAGAAATGGCAGATGGAGTTCAATCCAGGCAAATGTGAGGTGATGCATTTTGGAAGATCCAATTCAAGAGCGAACTATACGGTAAATGGAAAAGCCCTGGGGAAAATCGGTGCACAGAGCGATCAGGGTGTTCAGGTCCATTGTACCCTGAAGGTGGCAATGCAGGTCGATAGATGGTTAAGAAGGCATACGGCATGCTTTCATTCATAGGACGGGGTATTGAGTACAAGAGTTGGCAGGTCATGTTACAGTTGTATAGGACTTTGGTTTTGGCAACATTTGGAATACTGCGTACAGTTCTAGTCGCCACATTACCAAAAGGATCTGGATGCTTTGGAGAGGGTGCAGAGGAGGTTCACCAGGATGTTGCCTGGTATGGAGGGTGCTAGCTATGAAGAGAGGTTGAGTAGTTTAGGATTATTTACATTAGAAAGACAGAGGTTGAGGGGGGACCTGATTGAGGTCTACAAAATCATGAGCGGTATAGGTAGGGTGGATAGCAAGAAACTTTTTTCCCAGAGTGGGGGACTCACTTACTGGGGGTCACGATTTCAAGGTGAGAGGGGAAAAGTTTAAGGGAGATATGCGTGGAAAGTTCTTTACGCAGAAGATGGTGGGTACCTGGAACGCATTGCCAGCAGAGGTGGTAGAGGCGGGCACGATAGCATCATTTAAGATGTATTTAGACAGATACATGAATGGGCAGGGAGCAGAGGGATATAGATCCTTGGAAAATAGGTGACAGGTTTAGATAGAGGATCTGGATCGGCGCAGGCTTGGAGGGCCGAAGGGTCTGTTCCTGTGCTGTAATTTTCTTTGTTCTTTGTTCTTACATATTTCTGCCTACTTCCTGTTTTTAGTTAGCTAGCCATGTGGTTAGGTTACCCATTACTCCATGAACTACTAGGCAATATCGGCTTTCTCACTCAAAATCCACTTAAACGCAGTGGGTTCTCAATTAACAAAGTTGGAATTAGATCTGGCCCAAGTGTATTGTGATCTAATATTAATTGGCAAAACATTAACTCAACAACGAGATGCCTTCAATGAGAATATATTTCAAGGAGACAAATTCCCAAGATGGGCAAAGCAAGATTATCTAAAGCTCAACTGCCGACAAATAAATAAATCTGTTGTCAAGGTAAGGGGAAAAAGTGGAGAGAGGGTTTATGTTAAGGAATAAAACAGCAAAAAGAGAGTTTGGAAATAGGTTAGTGGTTAACATAAAAAGAAACCAAAATTTTGTTATATGCACATAAATAGCAATAGTCTACCCAATGAAAGTATGGGTCAAAATGAGATGATTGATGAGCACGCAGAAGGAATGCCTGATTTACTAAATGAGACAGGGATGTTGCCTATGTAGCGGTAAAGAAAGAGACAACGGGAATAAAATTGTACAGAACAAAAACAGGGAAAGACGATGGACTTAAATGTTGGTAGTCCTAATTCATTCAACAGAGGAGGGGTAAAAAATGATAGGCTCTAACCACAATCTTTCAATCAGCCTCAGATATGGGGTTGGGATGGCGAGGTGATAATGGTCTGAAGGATTGCAAATCTTGTCCCCTGTTTTAAAAAGAGGAGAAGGTGAAAACCAGCAAGAACAGCTTAGTCTGGGTGATGTTAAAGTCAACGAACCAGGACAAAATTAATTGTCATTTGGAAAAGTGTGAGCTAATCTTCAAAATCAGCAGATTTGCTAAAGACAAATTGTATTTGATTAACTTGATTGAGTTAGTTGATGTACTAGCAGAGAATCTTGAGGGTAGTGTGGTTGAAGTCCAGGAACTTCTCACTTAACATGGCCCCCATTTAACATTGCTTGGTTTAATGTGGCTTGTTAATGGAGCCTCTATCCTTGTTTAAGATCCATTTTAAATTTGTTTCATGTCTGGCTGACATAATGATGTGCGACTCAGTCGGTGCTATTGTGGACATCTCCCACTCCCTAACACCCCACTTTTTGCCAATCATTCTGCCACAGCCTGTCCTGCTCCCAAACCTATTCTCTTGCTGACAGTCAATGCTTGTGGCCTTTGTGCTGCCTAACGTATGCTGCTAATCCTTGGGCTTGTGGCCCTTGCCACTCCCAAACTCACCCACTGACTGAGTGCCCACTCCCTGGCTGTCCTGCTTGTTCCTCTCCTGCACTTGATTTGGTGTTCATGGTCCAGATCCATGTGCAATCTGAAGTTGCAACTCTGATAATGCAATATTGTCGGTCCTGAAGGTGCTGAAATGCCAATGTTTTCACTGCTTTCCTGTCCTGAACTCTCACTGTCAGCACTGGCTTTGGAAATGAGCAAGTAGAGGCAGGAGTAGCAGCTTTAACCATGAATAGCACTGTCAATAAGCTGGCAAGGGCATGAAGGGCCAAATGGCCTACTTGCATGAAATATCGAAATGAAACTCAGTTTAGCAAAAATAACTTGCATTTATATTGTGTTTTTAATACAGATAGCAACGTCTCAGGATAGTTTGTAGATGTGTGTGGAAAGAATGAATGCTAAGCTAAAGAAGAAGATATTGGGATGGGTCAAAAGGTTTTCAAGAGGATCATAGGAGAACAGGGAGTTGGATGGGTTGGTGAAAGCAGAGGAGATGACAGGACAATGGCACTCAAGTCAGTCCATGTGAAAAAGTGGATCTGAGTGGCATACAAATCATGCCCGTGAAAGGGCAGCGGGATTTTGTATCACAGAAGCATTGTAGAGATGCAAGAAACATTTTCTGGTTAGAAACAGGAATGCTTCTTCTTATCCGAGGTGTTTTGTACTGAATAAATCAAGGTATAAATAAATAACTAAATCATCAAAAACGCTACCGAGAAACCTTAATGTGATATTTAATAAACATACAGGTGCAAAACATCACAGGTTCACTTCTAAAGATCCCAGATGTGATTTGTTCGAGATCTCTCTTAGATTAATAATAAACATGTGGTGCATTGAAACATCTGCATTTCCCTCCAGATGCAAATTTTACTATTAGATTGAAATCTTGTACACTACATTGAAGCCTAGCAATCCACTCCTAAGATCCCAGCATCAGCAAACTGCTGTTACTTGTTGTAATTACCCTGTGGCAGTATAATTTTGTTCTTCCTCTCTTTAGGTTAATAAAAACCAGCAGGGGAAATGAATCTAATTATCAACCTCCACAGCAAAGCACACTACTTTCATCTGGGATGCATCTCATGTCCATCAGCAATTTCTCTACTTTCCAAATTAAAAGACGTGTGCACGCATTGTTATGATCCCAGCTGATATTATTACCAGAGATAGTAGGAACTGCAGATGCTGGAAAATCTGATATTATTACCAGTTAGGTCAGATCCCAGATTAAAATTTGGCTTGATAGATAACATTTTGATTTGTTTTGATTCTAACAAAGTGGTCTCCTGCTGGAATACGACTACAAAAAGCTGCAGATTTTGCTTTAACAATAAAAAAAGTTTACTAACAAAATAAATGACGATAAAACAGAATAAATCAAGCTGTCTATTTATAACATAAATTCAAAACTTTTTAAACACACAAAGTATAATCCCATTAATCCCCAAAGCTCTCCTTTATAAATTGAAACAGAAAAGGAATAGCTTCTGTATAGTATTCAAAATCATCCAGTACTCACACCAGTGTTCCCACTTCTAATTTGTTGGTTGGTTTAATTCATAGATTAGAACTACAAGTAGCTTCTTCCCGGAGCTATTGTATATATGAGTTTAAATGTACTTTAAGTAGCTTCTTCAGGGCTTTATCTCAACAGTTCTTGTCTATGACTGTAACTAAATCCTTGCTCAAAAATAATCTAGTATCACCTTTCCATCTCAACAACATTGGTTTATACAGCAATCTTTATCTAAGAACTTCACAGGAGTATTCAAAATTCTAAGTAAAGCTAAAAAAAAGTTCAAAACTATCGATGCTTTCCTTAAGCTTGAAAAAAACTCTCCTTCTAAACTGGAGTTAGATATCCTTGTTAGGTCACTAATCCTACTAACGTGCACAAAAAACAATTCGTTCTAAAGCACGGCCTCAAATATGTTTCAAAAGAAATCACCTTGCTACAGTTAGTTATTAACTTCAAACACACTGAAAATCCACATGTTAAAAACAGAAAACAAAAATCCAACTTTACAACAAATTACACTAAACATATATATAGAAATAAGAATTTCTATAACAATATGCATTCAATGATCATGATTTTACATTTAAGATAATTTTTTCAACAGCTTACCCAAGGCAGTACATGACGAATACAGTATTCCCAAGTCGCTATATACATGGGGCAAGCAAAATGATTCAAGACAATATAAGCTGCTTCAGGATCTGCTGCAAAGTTAAATTCAGAACAGATCGCAACATTCCCTCTGCCTGTCAAAGATAAAAACATGAAATGAAATTAATTCATTACAATGTCAACTTCCTGATCTAGGCACATTTAACAGTCTGGTGAAAATAAATACTTGGCATTGATTGATAAATGTCAATATTGGATGGAATTTTCAATAGCCTAAATATCAAATGCACACTCTTTAGGAAATCAAATACACAATACCATTGTCACATTTTAGAAATTCTGAAAATGTTTCCATGGAGCGAGTTTGATGCAGTATTGGTTACAAAATACTACTCCTGAGCTGAACTTGACTTTGAAGATTTAAACTTGATCAGGCTAAGACCGGAAGGTATGGCAACACACTGATAGGGATAGAATTGTAATATACTCATTATTTTGTGTTCATAAATGCAGTTGTATTGAATGGAAAAAATTGATGATGAAATAGTTCATTTATATTAACCTTCTTCTCCCTGGGTGTGCGAGCAGACCACCTTCATAAAAACAATGCAAACAGGTGCTTCTGCAATATTTGGATCATGCTGTTTTAGAAGCTGATAAAGGGCAAAGAGAATAAACTCATAAAAGTATTCAGAATGCTCATAAGAATGCTTGATGCCATAAAATCTAGAAGGTATTTATGGCAGAATAAATTTGTAAAAGCTACTATCTGCAGTAATACTGTTATTCCAGATGTAGTTTACTAACACAGGAAACTGCTGTCTGTTCAGCATGATAATATGGTCCAAAGACACACAAGATGATGAGTTCTGGTGAGACAAAGATGAGTGAGAAAATATGAAAATGGATTACTATAAAATAGCCCAGACATTAGGAAAATTGCATGCACTAGGAATACAGAATCAATTGCGTATAACAAGATAAATGTCCTATACTCTAAACTAGAAAATATTATTTTCTGTGTTTCCTGAATATCTCATTGAATGAGTGCACACATAAAGGGCTGCTGTATTGTAATGATCAGGAAATGATCAGCTTGAATCTCTGCTTGCTCTGGTTATTAGCTTACATCAATCAACACAGCACTGTAATTAGGACATAGGGATAAAAAAGATTCCCAAACCTGGATTACTGTAAGTGTATATATTCAATATCAGGTGAGGATTTAGTCAGGTTCAGGTGTGATGCAACCCACATTTAAGAGAATGATGCAATTAGCTCTTTAGCATACTTTCCATGTTTCCTCCCATGATGTATAAATGCTTTAACTTCGATGGAAAGGTGCGGTCCATTTTAAATGCCAGAGCAACATTGGTCAGGGGGCCAGTAGCCACAAGTGAGACCTGTTGAGTAATACATAAATACTGATCAAAGTGACTGAGAGATACAGAAGTCACATTGGTATGATATGGTAAACTTCAGAAGTTTAATAACTGTTTATGGATTGACAGAATCAACACAAATAAACACAAGGGAAGCAATAACTCTGTCAGGAATAAGCTGTAAAGGGACAGAGAGAAGCAGTTACGTAGGGGATTGAAAGCAATTAGCCATGTCTGGGAATATAAGGAGTCAAGGCAATATGAACAAAACTGTTTTGACACCTGTTTGATAACTGGCTGCCTTATGCCAGAAGGACAAATGACTGATTGCTAAAGAATTTAAGGTGTTAATTGTAAGACATGCTGGGTTTTCAGCAGACAGTTAAGGTCAAATGTAACAAGGAACAGAGGAGTTACTTCTGATAAGGAAGTAAGCTGCAGACTCAAAAACTCCAGAATAGTAATCAATATTTTGGATGAAAGAATCCAAATGATCACCAATAATGTCACCGCACAGATATGAAGATTAAAAATACTATAAGAATCCAGTACCAGAACTCTTCAGCAGCAGAACTTTGAAGAACAACACTGCACAAGAATCAAACCCTGGACATCAGAGGCGACACTGTTGGTTGGACTCATAGCTAAATTCTACCATGAATCAGGTAATAGCCAAACTGAATTGTAAGGCTTAACTTGCTTATGTGAGGCGTCTTAATTTAGTTGCTACATGCCTTAAAGGTTCAATCATTGTTTTAGTTCTTAATTATCTCTGAGATTTGATAATAAGTAGATGAATTAAAGGTAGTTTGTGGTGATTTACCCACAACAGTAGCCTGTCACAATGGACTTGTGGACTGGAAAATGTATTTTTTTTCTATTTTAAGGTTAAGTTCAAAACAAGAACGGTATTATTTTAGAATCAGAGCTAGGCTGTTGAGTGGTGATCTCAGACAGCACTGCCTCAACTCGGCTAAGTTGGCAGTTTATCACCTTACCAGGTTTTAAGACCAAGTAAATTGAAAATTTCAAAAACTAATACATAACATACATAACTAACATATTTTTGTTAGGTAACATTAAGTAATGCAGTGTCGAGGTGTGTTGTTATGTATCAGTCATGATCTAATTGAATGATGGAACAGGTTTCAAGAACTGAAATGTCTCCTATTCTTTGTTGCACTGACTAACAAATTGTATTTCATGATACATATACATCTCACCTGACCAGGATGTTCAGTGACTGTTCTTATGATGGCATTTACTGCATGTTCAGCTTGTATGTGTTCCAAACCTGGAGCATTACAATCTGGAACATCACCTAGACCATCCTTTCCATGGTACTGGCCATCATTTAGCTGATCTTCCAGAATAGATGCATCTGCACCACGATATACAGGAATCTGCAATCATAAGGATAAAAAAAATCTTTAACAAAATTCATGGGAATGAAATGCAATGGTTGTTACATAGAATGATACCACATAAATATATGGTTCTGGACTTCAAAGCCCTGTGTTACCAAATGTGTCATAAGGCAGGATTTCTGGCCACAAACTGGCTCATCCTTAACTGTAACAAAAGGTCAGTTATAGAGAGGAGGTGGGTGACTGTATAAGCTTTCACACTGCCTGTGTTCGACCCATCCTGGGGGCTTGATTCTTTTTACTTTGGGAGGAGGGAAATGATTTTAAAAAAACCCTTTCTGCTGCTTTTTGGAAAGCAATCAGTCTGTGATTGGTTGGCAGTTGTAAGCTTATAATTGACACCGGTCACTGCATGAGGCAGGCATTCCTTATATTGGCCACAGGAGAATTTGACCAGTTGAGATTTTTAATCACAAGCAACACTGTTTCTGCATTCATCTCACCTATCAGAAATTTGAATTCAAATTGAGACACCCCACCCAATTCAATTTCCCAGCGCCGTATACAATCCACTTTGGTTCCGCCTTCCTAGGCTCAGGAATTTTGGGGCAGTTTTTTTTTCTGTGAGGGCCATGAGGTTGTGAATTGTGTTTGAGTACGATTCTGCTGTTGCTGCTGCGAATAGACCACAGCAGCTCGTGGATGCCGAGTCTTGAGTAGCTCGGTCTGTTCAAAGTCTATCTCATTTAACACAGTGATCGTGGTGCACAACAATATGGGGGTCATTCTCAACGTGAAGAAGGGACTTTGCCTCCACAAACAATGTGCAGCAATCACTTTTACTTTTCCAGAATGGGCAAAAATCTACAGAACAGAGGGATTTCGGAGTTTTCATCCATGAGTCACAAAAGGCTAACATCCAAGTTCAATGGGTAATAGGGAAAGCAAGTAGACTGTTGGCTTTTATTTCAAAGGGAATGCAGAGAAATTAAGGAGGCTTTGTAAAAACTATACAAGGCACTAGTCAGACCACAACTGGAATACAGTGAACTGGTTTGGTCCTCTTATCTAAGCGAAGATATACCGGCATTGGTGGCAGTCCAGAGAATGTGCCAGGTATGGAGTGACTGTCTTATGAGGACAGATTGAGTATGTTGGGTTTGTGCTCACTGGAATGCAGGAGAATGAGAAGTGACTTTATTGAAACATTCGAGAATCTTAGGAGACTTCACACGATAGATGCAGTACAGTTGTTTCCTGTTGTGGGAGAGTCTAGGATCAGATGCTATAATCTCCACAATAAGGGGTCACACATTTAAAACAGAAATGAGAAAGAATTTATTCTCTCAGAGAGCAGTGACTCTGTGGAATTCTTTGCCACAGAGAGCTGTTGAGGTTGGGTCATTAAGTAAATTCAAGGCTGAGAGAGACAGATTTTTAATCAGCAAGGGAATCAGGGTGAAAAGGGAAATGGCAGGAAAGTGGAGTTGAGAATGATCAGATCAGCTACGATTTCATTGAATTTTGGAGCAGACTTGATGGGCTGAATAGCCTACTTCTGCTCCTACATCTTCTGGTCTTATGGTTTGACCAGCCATTGAAGAAAGTGCAGCAGATGATGTTATTTGACCTTAGAGTTCTGAGATTGCATTCCCAATACCTACTGTTCACACATGGAAGGACAACAACCAAGTCAATCATTCTAATTGGCAGAATGTTATTAATGGTGTCCAAAAGCTTTATATTGGGTCTCAAATATTCACAAGATTTATTAATAAATTGGAATTAAAAGCCACATTTCCAAATATGCAAAACACAAGTAGCACATTAATCATTATAAATTAAAACATGCAATTTCAAAGAGATATTAATAGGTTAGCACATTTCAAGGTAAATGTGAGATCATAAACTTTTGGGTATCTTTTAATCAGGCAAAGGCCTGAAACAGTGGAGTTCCAAAGAGACTGGAGTCCAGGTGTAGACAGCATTCGAACGTAATGAGCAGTGAATTTTACAAGACGATTGCATTTTAAAATGTCAGTTCAGAGAACTACCCCTCTGATCCAGTTGCCACTGGGAGTTAAATTCAAAAGGAAAGCTATTAAGATGTCAAGTGACTGTTTAGTCATGTTTGGACAATATCTCACCGATAAAGGACAGCTGCAGGTGAGACAGAGGAACAGAGAAGGTACTGCTGTAGTGCAGAGAGAACTGCTTTGTGTTACTAACCAGGCAGGATGGTTTCAAGAGATAACAAGGTATAGAGCTGGATGAACACAGCAGGCCAAGCAGCTTCAGAGGAGCAGGAAAGCTGACGTTTCGGGCCTAGACCCTTCTGGGGAAACAGAACAGGTGTGCCTCTTGAAGATGTAAGGAATGGGGAGCCATTACAATCTGCCTTGCTGTTGATAATTATACCCAGGAAAGGTTGGATAGAGAGGAATGATTGTTGAAGGACACTGGAATTTTCCACCTGGCTCGGCACAGAGGGGTGGTCCTCCACTGACAAGCTCACTTTGAGTGGCTTTGGTACTGTTCCTGTAATGCTAAGGACGTATTCCCTGGAATTTGAAAGATTGAGTGATTTCACAATTTTCAAATTATTAAGGAATCCATAAAAAATAGATAGAAAAATGCTATTGGCACTGGCTAGGGAACCTGGGGAGTAGGGACATTGTCTAAAATTTAGAGTCAGAACTTTCAGGAATGAAATCATGAAATGTTTCTACACACAAAGTATGGTAGAAATTTGGACCACTCTTCAGCAAATGGCAATTGATACGACATCAACTCAAATATTAATTCTGTTGATAGATAGACTGGTAGTTTTTTTTAAATAACCAAAGGTTATTAATGGGAAACAAACAGAAATGGACAAAGTTATAATGGGGAAGAAAGTGATGGCAGACCAACTAAATATGTACGTTGTTTCTCTTTTTACAAAGGAGGACACAAATGACTTCCCTAAAATACCGGAGAGCACAGGGTCTAATGAGAGGAAGAAATTTAAGGAAATCAGTAGTAATAGAGAAATGGTGCAGGGGAAGTTGATAGGATTAAAGGACAATAAATCCCCAAGGCCTGATCCCAGATTATATAAAGAAGTGGCCCTAGAAATTGTGGATGCATTTTGTGAATGAAAGGTGGTCACCTTTCAAGATTCTATAGACTCTGGAAGAGCTCCTAAAGGTTGGAAGATTACTACTGGGTGGCTCAGTGACTAGCACTGCTACCTCAGAGCGCCAGGGACCCAGGTTCAATTCCAGCCTCGGGTGATTGTCTGTGTGGAGTTTGCACATTCTCCCCACGTTTGTGTGGGTTTCCTCCAGGTGCCCCGGTTTCCTCCCACAGTCCAAAGATGTGCAGGCTAGATGGATTGGATATACTAAATTGCCTATAGTGTTTAGGGATGTTTGGGTTAGACATGGGAAATGCAGGGGTAGGGGGATGGGACGCTCTTCAGAGGGGCGGTGTGGACTTGTTGGGCCAAAAGTCCTGTTTCCCCACAGTAGGGGTTCTATGGTTCTAATGTAACCACACTATTTAAAAGAAGAGGTAGAAAAAGAATGAAATTATAGACCAGCTGGTCTGATGTTGATGTAGGAAAAATAATCATGTGTTAGAGAAGACTTGATAGCAGAGCACATGGTAAACAGTGACAGGTTTAGACAGAGTCAGCATTGACTTACAACAGGAAAATCATTCTTGATGAATGTATTGGAATTTTTCAAAGATGTAACTATTGGAGTTGATACAGGGAGCAAATGGCTGTGGCTTACTTGGAATTTCAGAAGGCTCTGGAAGAGTTCCTAAGGTTTGGACAATTGCCAAATTAATCACACTATTTAAAAAGTGAGGTAGAGAGAAAAAATTAAATTTTTGACTGATTAGCCTGATATTGGTATAGGATTGGAGAGACTTGATAGCAGAGCACTTGGTAAACAGTGACAGGTTTAGACAGAGGGAAATCATGTTTGACAAATATATTGGAATTTTTCAAAGATGTAACTAATAGAGATGATACAGGGAGCCAATGGACTTTCAAAAGGCTCTCGATCAGGTCCCACACAACTGATTAGCATGTAAAATTAAAGCTCATGGATCAGTGCATCGATCCCAGCTCTTAAATATATGATTGATTTAGACGAAGAAGCTCAATGTAATATCCCTGAGTTTACAGATGAACAAAGCTGGGTGGCGGGGTTAACACAGTTTGCAGCTGGAGGAACACAGCATGCCAGCTCCATACTGTATTGTCTCTGACTCCAGCATCTACAGTTCTTGCTATCTCTGGATGGTGGGGTTAGTTGTGAGTAAGTTTAGGTTATCCACTTTAGTAGCAAAAACAGGAAGGCAGTTTTTTTATCTGAATGGTGAAAGGAGAGGGTGCAACAAAACCTGGGTGTCTTTATATACCAGTCACTTAAAGTAAGCATGCAGGTGCAGAAGATAGTGAAGGAACAAATGATGTGTTGGCCTTCATAGCAAAGAGATTCAAGTACTGAGGCAGGGATGTCTTGCTGCAATTGTACAGGGCCTTGGTGAGAGCACACTTGGAGTATTGTGTGCAGTTTTGGTCTCCTTATCTGAGGAAGGATATTCTGGCAATGGAAGGAGTGCAATAATTCTTGGGATGGCAGGATTGGCATGTGAAGAGAGACTGGATTGAACCTATAAAATTCTAACAGGACTAGACACAGTAAATACAAGCAGGATGGTCTCCATTACCCGGTAGTCCAGAACCAGGGCTTACAGTCTAAGGATACGGGGTAGGTAGGCCATTTAGGACTGAGATGGGGAGAAATGTCTTCACCCAGAGAGTGGTAAGCCTGTGGAATTCTGTGCCACATAAAGCAGTTAAGACAAAACGATTGAATATTTTCAAGAAGGGCTTAGATATAGTTCTTAGAACAAAGGGTCTCAAAGGGTTTTGGGAGAAAGCGGAAACAAGGTATTGAGTTGGATTCTCTCACTGGCAGTATTGTGGGTCTACCCACTGCACAAAGACTGTAGCAGTTCAAGAAGGCAGTTCATCTCCATCTTCTCAAGGTCAACCAGGAATAGGTACTGCCCGCAACTCACATGTCCCATAGGTGAATAAAAAATCAGCCATGACCATATTGAATGGCACGGCAGCTTCAAACAGCCAAATAGTGTATCCCTACGCTGATTTTCTAACTTTCTACGAAAATGCACCAAAGGATCATAAGCAATGATCTCACAGCATGGTTGAATAGGCTGAAGGGACTAAATGGCTTAGTCTTATTTAGATGTTTCACAATAGCTAGCTTTTCATTGATCTGCATTTTGAAAAGGCATGCTAATTCACGTATAAAAACCACTTATGATAAGAAGATTCTGGTAATGATAAAAAGTTATCTTTCAAAGCACATAGTACCCTTGCGCACATTTGCCATCACATACCTCTGTCCTCTGGCAAACTTTTAGCACTCGAAGTACATTCTTGCATATATTTTCAATGTTTGTATTTCCATGAGTACATGTTATACCCAGGATCTGCACGTTAGGAGCTACAAGAGCCATCATAATTGCTTGTGCATCATCCACCCCACAGTCAACGTCTAAGAGCAACAGCTTCTTTGACATCTTGAAATTTGTGGCCTAAAAAAGGGAAGATTGAATTTAAAACATAGGATTATACAGCAGGAGTGTACCATTCAGCTACAAGGCCTGCTGTGCTAACCTAGATCAGGGCTGATCATCGACCTTAACTCCATATTCCCGATCTGTACCCATATACCTTGATGCCTTGTGCAACTGCAAATTTATTAATGTCTAACTTGAAAACAGAAGTTATTGGCTTTACGATCTGGGATTAATACACTGGCTGCATTGAACACTGATGAGAGAATGGGAAGCTGTAACTTTTTAGAGTTGCAAACATTGTTTATTTGCTGCTTCTTTTAGTATGACTTCAAACCAATCAATACGAGTTGGGTTTGAGGCAGGCTGGTCAAGGAGAAATCACTGTCAAGGCCAGTCTTCAGGCTTGGACTTCAAAGTAACACTATTTATTATATTTTAATACATGGTAGATCTATAATCTGACTTAAAGTTACATTAGATAATAACTAATCTTTCTTCATTTTGTGTTCATATCCCTGTGCTACTTGTGTTTCTTCCAGGCAGACTGCCCTCATCTGTGTAACTCCACTGTTTGCTGGGCAAAGAAATGACAGATGGAATTCAACCCAGAAAAGTGTGAAGTGATTCATTTTAGAAGGTTGAATTTGAATGCAGAATACAGGGTCAATGGCAGGATTCTTGGCAGTGTGGAGGAACAGAGGGACCTTGGAGTCCACGTCCATAGATCCCTCAAAGTTGCTACCCAAGTTGATAGGGTTGTAAAGAAGGTGTATGGTGTGTTGGCTTTTGTTGGCAGGGAAATTGAGTTTAAGAGCCATGAGGTTATGTTGCAGTTCTATAAAACTCTGCTTAGACCATACTTGGAATATCGTATTCAGTTCCAGTCACCTCATTTTAGGAAAGATATGGAAGCTTTAGAGAGGGTGCAGAGGAGATTTACCAGGAAGCTGCCTGGACAGGAGGGCAGGTCTTATGAGGAAAGGTTGAGGGAGCTAAGGCTTTTTTCATTGGAGCGAAGAAGGATGAGAGGTGACTTGATAGAGGTTTACAAGATGATGAGAGGCATAGATAGAGTGGATATTCAGAGACTTTTTCCCAGGGTGGAAATGACTATTATGATTGGAGGAAGGCATAGGGGAGATGTCAGAGGTGGGGTCTTTATACAGAGAGTGGTGGGCGTGTGGAATGCGCTGCCGGCAGTGGTAGTGGAGTCAGATACTTTAGAGACTGTTAAGCGACTTTTGGATAGGCACATGGAGGTTAGTAAGATGTAGGGTAGCACGGTAGATTGAACTTAGTAGGATAATAGGTCGGCACAACATCGTGGGCCGAAGGGCCTGTACTGTGCTGTACTGTTCTATGTTCTATGTTCTTAACTACAGGTGACCCCACCACACTATACACTCTCACACATGTCTACATACACGCTCACTCACTCAAACACACACACACACACACACACTCTCTCTCTGTCTCTCTTCCACATGCACATACACATACATACACACACTCTCTCTCTACCACCCTCACACAAACACACACACACACACACACACCCACACTCTCTCTCTCTCTCTCTCTCTCTCACACACACACACACACACACACACACACACACACACACACACACACACACATACACACACACACACACACACACACACACACACATGTGAATCTATGGCGTGCATTTGTATTTGCACATACATTTTATTTTCTGCAAAAAGCACACAATTTATAGACAGTCAGTCAATATGGTGTTTTATAAATTCCTACTTTAGAAATAAAACCAGTCTGACTCCAAACTAAAACACAAACAAGGCCTCACACCTAATATAAGTAAGAAATAACACAGTGTGGAGCTGGATGAACACAGCAGGCCAAGCAGCATCAGAGGAGCAGGAAGGCTGACGTTTCGGGCCTAGACCCTTCTTCAGATTTTTTCTACAGATTCTCCTAGGATTTGATGTAGCTCTCGGGGAACAAAAAAAACCCAGCCTATTCAGCCTCTCCCTATAGCTCAAACCCTCCATTCCCAGCAACATCTTTGTAATTCTTTTCTGCACTCTTTCAAGTTTGACAATATCCTTCCTATAGAAGGGTGACCAGAATTGCTTTATCTGGCCTGTGTTCTGTTTGTTCTTGATGTAAAATATTAATGAAAAGCTATTAGGAGATTGTCAAACAAAATTACTTCTCATCTGTTGTCTGTGTGCGGCACATGGTCTGATATTCTTCCCACATGGTAGTGTGCTCACCTTTGATTTGG